GCCTGCGCCGCTGCCGACTCCCCAGGCTCTGGCCTGGCCGACGAGGCCGCCGAGGACAGCAGCGAGGAGGCCGCCCCGGAAACTGCACCAGGTGAGCGAGCGCACCCAAGTGGCCCAAGTCTGGGTCGCCCAGGCTTGGGTGGCCCTGTGCCCCGGTGACCTGGTTCCCCAGTAGTCTTTGCTCAAGGCCCCTGTGCTCAGGTGGCCCCACACCCAGCTAGCCCCTGGCTCAGGTGGCCCTGTGCCTGAGTAATCTTGTACTCAGGGAGCTCTTGCCCAGGTCTCCTGTGTCCAGGTGGTCCCACACCCACCTAGCCCAGTGCTCAGGTGACCTGTGCTTGGGTACCCTTGTGCCCAGGTAGCCTTTGCCTAGAGCTCCTGTGTTCGGGTTGCCCTACACCCAGGTTCCTGCACCCATTGGGAACCAGGAGCTTGCACTGTTGGGTGCAGATACAGGCACCTGTCAGCTCCACTTGCTGCTGTTTTTGCTAATTACCCAGATGTGTTCACATAAGTTAACACCTTTGACATCTTGAGTTGATGCTATTTCCTGGGCATCAGTAATTTCTGAGCAAAGAACACGGTCATGGACCTCCTCTGAGATGTGATCCTCTCTTCCTTTTCTGTCCCAGACCCAGTTCTCACTGTAACAGCACATGTACATACAAGCATACGCACATGCACATACACACACACGCACACACGCACACGCACACACACACACACGCATGCACGCACGCGCGCGTGCTCATGGATTTTCCTTCCCTCTTCCCCTTCCTTACATGGGACAGCCAGGTAAGAATATCTTCAGGTTGGTGTGCAGTTATAATTAATCTCCTTGGATTCTAGTAACCCTGTGGGTTCACAGATCATTCGCTGGAACAGGTTACTTTCCAAATAGCAGCCATGTGTATACTTAAAGATGCTTGGCCAACTTTGTTTTTCTAATTTTCCTACTTGCTATGAATTTTAAATATTTTGATATTTCCTTCATTACCTTTTGCTTTGGGTAGTTAAGTGGAAGGTGATGTTTCAGTTACAGAGCTTGGAACTTCCTCTGCAAAGCGAGGGATGTTTATATCTTCTTCCTGCAAACTGGTTAGTGGATGTCACTTTTAACCTGAACATTCAAGAATGGTAGAAATCAAAGCTTATGGACAGGGCTATTTGTATTCTGTAGTGACTACTGTGCATTTTTTCAAAACAAAATAGAAATCACTATCATTTTTTCTTATTAGAGCTTTAGCCAAATCTTCTGAGCGGAGTTTAATTATTACAGGTTTATACAGTGTGTTAATATGAGGGTTGGCTCCACTCAAATGCCTGTTGAGTCAACAAGAATGTAGAAAACAAGTTGTTTCTCTAATCCTGTAGAGAAACCTGTGCCGAATCTCACACAGTGTGAGTGAATATATATAGGTAAATGAATAATAATCATAATGTGTTATACATTAGCTGTATAAGAGTACTTTGAAAAGTTCCTGGACAAATAGAATTAAAAGATAATGTGA